ACTTCTCCCACAATCCCCTAATTTTACAAATGACAATTCTCTGTTAACCATTTTACTTTTTTAAAGTTATATAAATCTCACAGTTGGAGGGAATCGTGAGTATCTCCACACCTGTGTAACTGCAATGCTGTGTTCACGGCCGAGGATCAGGCTGTGAGGATCAAACGCCACCTCAACCATGACGGTAGATCTAAGCTCAGAATCTGATCTCTCGCTGCTTCTGACCACTCCCCCCTGGACGCGTCTGGAGGGACAGGATCCGCCTCGGCCACTCCCTGCTCGTCCCGACGGAGGCACCGCTGTGGAGCGTGCGGGCTGCGGGGGGCGGCGGTCAGGCCTTGGCTCCACGCGCGACTGCAGCCGTGTTGACAGATTTAGGTTAAAGTAATTTAGGTTTCCTCCCTCAGTCGCCTCCACACGGCTTAGGCCCCGACAAGTCGGCCTGCAAGGATGTCGCTGGCGCTGACGAGAGGCCCCACGGGCTCCGCTTCAAACGCCCGCTCCTCAGGGAGGACGTGGGGCCGCCGTGTCGGTTTCCTGCACTGGGGCAGCTGGCGTCTGGGGGGCCGCCACGCCGAGGAGCCCGCTTTCCCTGCTGAGGCTTGAAACCCTCTCAGGACAGTGCCACGTCGCCGTTTGAACACTTCCTCTGCCTTGGGGACTAGCGTGACCCCTCGAAGGGTCTCGTAGTTGCCGCTTCAGCCACTTTCTGGAGGGCAGGCCAGTCCCGGGGAGGAGGGTCTCGTGACCACTGAGTTTCCTTTGCACCCGGCTCCAGAACAAGCCAGGCCAGTCAGCGGCATTGAGTCTGTGGAGAGCGTTAGCTCACCGCTCCGTAGGTCCCAAGGTGACGCTTGCTCGCGACGCCCACCACCAAACGTCCATCTCTGCCATCAGCGACCAGCCGAGGGGTCTGCCCACCCGCCCTCCCCTCTTGTCCCCCCGTCACCAGCCTACCGTTACCCCCGTCTAAGGTTTGTTTTCATTATAGGAAGTTCCTCAGAAAACTAAAAACAGGACACTGCCGTGTGACCCAGTAGCTCCGTTTTGGGTATTTACCCAAGAACAGGAAAACGCTAGCGCAGAAAGGCGGCAGCACGGCTGTGTCCGCGGCGGCGCTGCTCACAGCAGCCCGGGAAGGGCGCACGAAGGCGCAGCGACGGGCTGAGAAGGCGAGGGCTGGGCCCACGACGGCCTGGAGGGGACCTGCCGACCGGAGTGAGGCAGAAGGAGAAAGACAAAGACCAGATGATTTTGCTTTAGTTCTTGTCCCTCCCTGCCTGGCTCCTGAAGCGTGGCCTCCCTGTTCCACGCTCGCCACGTCCAAAGGCCGGTGGACGTGTGGCCTCGCGGAGCGTGGAGCAGGCCCGGCCCGCCGGCGCCACCGCGCCGGGTACCAGAGGCGGAGAGCCTGGACGACGTGGTGGCACGTGACAGGGAGACCAGGAGACCCCGCACCCCCGCCTCCAGGAGACGGAACTTTCCCTGTGCGTCTCCGCACGGGACTGCTGCGGAAATACAGCCTCCAAGACAGGCTGCTCCCGCCCGCTGAGCGCAGTCCCCTGCCCGGCGAGCCCTGGCGGCTGGGAATGCTTATACGCCTGATCGAAGAGCCTCAGAGTCCATGAGTGGGGTGAACTACAGACAATTCCACAGAAGTAGGGGAAGATTTTAACAATCCCCTCCCGGCACTCAGAGACCCTCTCTAGACAGCGCGGGCAGGAGGGGGGGGCATGAGAGCTGCCAGGAGCTCCCTGGAACAGGCAGAGAGTCTCGAAGAAGACACCCATCCGGGCACATTCTGGGTCTAAGAGACACGGCTGCTCGCTTCGGGCGGGATTCTGAGCAGAGGGTCAAGGAACTTCCACGTGCGTTTGAAAGTCTTTACAGCGAATGATGTTCGAGCAACGGGGCGCACTCGGGGCGCGGGGCAGGGAATAAGCAGTAACACACGTCGTCGGGCTTGGGGCTCGAAGGGGTCTCGTGTTCTCAGGGGACCAGCACCCTCATTTACCTGTGCTCATCACTGTAGTCGCCCCGAGGTGGCTCAGGGAGACACGGCCCAGACCTGCCCCTTCTCGAGGCCATGGCCAGGGGTTCCCTTCCGGACTGTCCACGCTTAACTGACGTGTCAGGGCCATTATTTCCTCACTATTATACTTGTTCAAGTGATAGACAGTGGAGTGAGAGGTTGAAAGAATAATATGGATAAATATTGATCCAGGAGTTGTTCAAATAACATCACCTGTATTCTACAGACCAGCTTAGCTCCTAGATTAAGATTTCAAGTTTCATAACCATTTTATTATAGTACGAAGAATAATATTGGGCAAGGAATATAATCAAAGAACCTGAAAATGAATACTTGGTTCATTTTTCTGGGCCATATTGTCTAAGTTACAATAATTTGATTTAATATCATGTCAAATATATTCAATAATTTAAAAGCGCACACCAGTTCCTGGCTGCACTGCCAGAGTCTCCTAGGCAGGGAGGCCGCACACACAGACACAAACCAGACACTCGGGGACATGATTTAAGCAAGACAAATATTTCTTAATTCATTATTTCTGTAACCACTGTCTTCATCAAACACTCATGGCTTAAATTCAGGGGCTGTGTGGACGGCTACATGTATGAGGCCTGGTTCTCTCGAAAAGCACCTGAGATAATTCAAAGCAACTGTGTGTTCAAATAGTGATGATGAGAAAGTCTCACAGATTTTACCAAGCCCAGCGTCCGTTCCGTGTGGATAGACTCGCCTGCTTTGTTTGGGGAGAAAAGCGAAGAGGAAAAGAGGCCAGTTGAACACTTTTGCTGCAAGTAGCGGGGCCCACAGTGGGTCTCTGCTGAGCTGCTGCCCCTCTCCTCCCTCCAGGTCTCTCAACTTCTGTTTTTCTCTAGTTTTTTGAGCTCCCAAGTAGCCTTTCCAAGCAGGGTGGAGAGGGCCCCACGCTAGCTTTCCGGTGTGTGGGGGGACCCCATCCCCCCGCCCAGACGCCCACCTCCCCCTGACCCCGTGTGGACCTGCAGTGAGGAGGGCAGAGCCCTGTGGCCCATACATTGCCTGGTCACAGGCTGCAGCCAGGCAGCGGCACCCGATCAGGCGAGGCCACGCTCCCTTCTACGGGGGCAGAGCGGGAAGCACCCTCAGCCTGGTCTGGGGGTGGGGGGCTCTGAGCCAGCTGCTGCAGACAGACCCTCGGCTCCGCCCTCCATGTGGGGTGGCCACCGGCTTTCCAGGGCACACGTTGTCTTGCTCCCTGCGCCCTCCTTGAAACATGCCGGTTCTGAGCTGGACACTCACTGATGTCTGTGGTTGGAAATGAGGGGCGACGGCGCCTCTTCCAGAGCCCCCGCGCGCTTGGGGCGTCTGTGCAGAGTCGGGGAGGAGGAAGGAGCACTGTGCTCCCCGCGCTGCCGCTGCTGGAAGGGCTTAGACGTTTTACTCTGCAATGTCCTTATTTTTCCTTAACCAGTGTTAATTACACTTAAATGGACATCCTGAGGCTATTATCTTCCAGCTCTGTGATGGACGCCGGTGGCATTTAGCCCTCATCTGAAACAAAAGGGCAGAAATGCCTCCGGGAGAGCTATTAGCCCTTTAATTAGTAAGGGAGCTGCGGTGCAGGTGTTTTATCCAGTTTTGTGTAGATGTTTCCTGTTAGGCTGAAGTTAGCCACTTTGGCTTACTGTAAAATTATCGGTGTTTCTTAAAAACAGCCGCGTCGAAGGTGACTTGATAGGATCACTAGGATGCTCGACACGCGTGCGTGTGTTTATACATAGGGTTGCGTCCGCAGGTAGTTATTGCTCAGCACAAAGGTAGAGTGTGTGCACACATAGCAGGTGTCCGTCCGTCCACCCATCCATCCGAGAGCGGCCGACGCTCAGACATTCTTAAGATCCCTTTGCAGCAACACCACAGCAAGAGGGTGGTCCACGGAAATAACTTGGCAATCCGTCATCCTAAAGTAATAAAGGGGGGCAAGAGAAGACTCATTCCAGGTAACATACGTTGTTTTGTACACATCAAAATTTATGAGGACTCACTACCTTTATGACAAAAACGGCAAAGAAAGTTGTTGTGCAAATTATTAGCTCATTTATTTTTTTCCAGGTGGAAAGTGAACGTGGAGTAGGAGAACTGTCCATCAGAAATGGGTTCCAGAAACACTTTCCCTTAGAGGAAAAACTGTACCTTTTTTATACCAGGGTTATTTTTGATTCCAGCATATTCTGTCCAGTGTGTGAAGCATCGAGTAGGTGAAGCTTCAATTCTTGAATGACAGTTTTTATTTCAGGAATAGTGGAATTCTGTGGGAATTTCTATTTTCAAATGAGTCCCTTAAAGTGAAAAAGTCGTTCAGATTCAGGGTCTGGACGGATCCAGAGAAGATGCTGCGGGATGAGAACTTGGGGTGCCCATTGGGTGCCTTCTGGCGTCACCCCGCCGCCTCGGCCGCCGAGGGTCCTGCTGTGCCTCAGTCCCATTCCTAGTGGGCGAGCGGGTTGTTTTTTTTTTTCCACGTTTTTCAACCCCGGTGTCTGCTGTGCTACTTGAAGAAATAAAAATCTTTAACAAGTTTGGTGGCCGCTGCAGTGGCTGTTTCACATCAGGGGAAACTGATTCAACTCCTGGGTTCACATTTCCTGACCTTTGGGGGCGCCCCGGGCCGCGCGTGACTCACGCAGGTGCTGTCGCGGGGCTGCAGGCCGCGGCTCCTCAGCCCCTGCGGGAAGGAAGCGGGCGGCCCGGCGCGAGGAGGGCCCGTGGGGTCTGGGTCAGCCTGGGGGGAAGCCGGGGCTGACCCGCAAGGTGGCCTCTGCGCGTTCTGTAGTTCGCGGCCTCGGCACCGACGGATTTCAGGACTCTTTGAAATATTAGGATAAAGTTAGAGGGTTGAGGTGTGCAGGTCCAGGGATGGAATTTCCATCTCGAGACAGCATGAATCGGGGGAGAGTTTAAGATAATCTTTTGTTTTGCAGGTGAGCGGGGAGACAGCAGGTGTCAGCGCCGGGGGAGCCCGACCAGCGCCCCGGAGCCCAGCCCTCAGCACCACCCCGAGCCCGGCCACCCTGAGGTAAGAGTCGGGCCTCGCGCTGGGCGCCCTGACGCCGGCTTGGAGCGGCAGGACTGAGAAGCCGCCCAGGCCTTGCACTTTCATTCTCCGTCCTACACAGCACCTCACGCCGGGAGCGCTTGCCGCGCGTTTGCTGAAATGAGTGACATGACTCGGGGGCGAGGCCCGTGCGTCCGTCTCTCGAGTTGGCCGCTCTCTCCACGCGCGGCGTCCCCGTGGCTGAGGGTGTCCCGGTTCCGGGCAGCGCCTGTCCCTGGGTGGAGCCTGCTCTGGGAGGCCGTGGGAGGCCCGTGCTCTGGACGCGTGTCCTGGGCTGTTCCGTGCTGGCCACCCGGGGTGACGCGGGCCCGGCAGCCAGGGAAACAGCCAAGGGAGGTTAGGTCTCTGCTCGCCTCGAGTGTTAACACCCCACGGGAGTGCGTGGCTCGCCCCAGGGACAGACCCCTCACTACTGCCGTCCCCTCTGCAGGGCCGGACCCCAGGGCTGGGTGGGGCTGTCTTACGGCCCGGGGAAGCGCAGCCGCCCCACTGTGCTGCAGCCTCAGCCCCACGGCCTGTGCTGCGGGTTCAGCCACGCTCCCCCATGTTCTCACCCGTCGGGGCACGGGCCAGAGAGGCCGGTGGTGGAGGAGTGTTTTATTCTTGTCCGCGTGACAGTTCCAGAGCATTCTGAGCGACAGTGCGATTATCTCCAGTGAAGACAGGCCTGGTGGTGTCGGGAGGCTCGGCCCCGGGTCTTCAGCAGGGGGTGGGGAGGGAGGGTGGCAGCGTCACCCTGGGCCCTCAGATGCGCCTTCAAAAAAAAAGGAAAAATTAAATCCAAGCTGCGTATTGCCTTGCTCAGGTCGCGGGCGTGTGACCTGCCCCGGGGAGGGACGCAGGAAGGCTCCTCACGAACCAGAAACAGGCGAGGACTGGGGGTGCGCAGCACGGGAGGTAGCAGGAACCCCACTTCTGGGGTGTGGCTTCCTAGTGAGCTGCATGGAGGGGTGCCCCCAGCTGAATGCCAGGGAGTGCCCCAGGCCCACAGAGCGCCCCGGCCCACCGAGCGCCTGAGGAGGGAACTGCGGGGCGCTCACTGCAAGCGCGGGGTTTTCATCAAACAGGTACGTTCGGAGGCATCAGGGCTTGCGCTGCTGCTGTGATTCCCGTTACTTCTGTTCCTCGTCCCCATTATTATTCGCCTATGAAGGCCCCGCGGTCACGGAGGTCACAGAAGGGCGAACGCGGACAGTCATTTTCTTCGTGAAAGGACCATGTTTCCCGGCTCGGTTCCCTTTGCTTTGGCTAAAATAAACAACAAAAGTGGAGCTATTGGAAGGCATCGAGGGTGAATGATGGCTTATCGGATCAATGAGGAATTATGGCCCTTTGGATAAGAATATACCAAAAATTTGCTTGGCACGTCAAGGTTTTTACGTCTCCACAATCTGCCACGTAAGTGCTGGCCTGTGTTTATTGCGTCCGGTTAGAAGGAAATAAAAGTCGCCCCGTCAGCACCATCGGGTTGTGTTCCGATACTTTCCGTCGCCCGAGGGACGGTCCATAAACTGGGAAATTCTCAGTAAAATTGTAAACCTCATTGAATCCCCACACGAGTTGAATATCTATAAACCCACGATGTCCCTGGTGCGCGGCCGGCAGGAGCGGGGACGCACCGCTTTCCACCATCATAGTGTAGCATCTCGGGACCGGCGTTGTTCCCGTCGCTTTCCTTTCAAATAACTTTCCTCTCTCTTTCCACCCACCCTTTCTGGGGGCTCCCCACCCTAGGAGTGCCATCGAGTCCCACGCCTTCAGCATCAGGGCACCCCGAATTGCATCTGGGGAGGCGGGCCTCAGCCTCCCGCGATCTGCCTGGAGCTCCTCCACAGGAGTGGACCTTGGCAGGTGGAAAACAAGCCCCCTCCTTCCTCTCCTCAGCAGCCCCCAGCGTGCTGTTCCTCCTGACTTTTTCATTTCTGTCAACACGTCTAGTTTATTAAACTTGGAGCTTATTATCTTCCCCACTTTCTTTATATTTAATCAATGCAAGTTGTGCATCTACAGCGCATCAATATTTTATACCCACATTAACATTTTTAGCCCATTTCCTCTTCTGTGGAGCCTCCTAACTCTTAAAAAATCCTTCCAGGTAGAATCCTCAGGTTTACTTCTGTCGCCTTCACCTGTTCACCCTCCGCGGCCGGGCTTCCGAGTGATGCCAGCTCACCCGGCCCACCTCAGCCGCCGCTCACCCCATCACGGTTTCCCTTGTGCTGGCCCAGGTCGTGGCGCTGCATGTGCCCCTCAGGGGGCGTCACCGTGACTCAGCCTTCCTGCGAACTGACCTGTTTGCGTTGCCCCTCCCGCTGCCCCAGGCTCGCCCGAGTGGCCGCTGCATCTCTGTCCCGGCCTGGGACTTGCCCTCGGAAGCTGACCAGTGAGCGCCTCCCGACGAGCCGGGAACGCCACACGGGCGCGCCTAAGTCGCCCTTTATTTTCCAGCAAAAGCAAACACCATCGTTTCCTCCCAGCAGTTCCGTAACTGAGGGATCCCCAGGATCATATCAGCACCCCGGGGGCTGTGGAGCTGGCCAGGCCGCCCCCAGGGCTGCCCCGAGCCTCCTTGCAGGGCCGCGTGTGCTCCAGGGGGGCAACTGGACGGCGTGGACTCGGGAGGCGGCGTGTTTGGGCAGGACTCCACGGGGCACTTCAGTTTGCTCAATTCAGTAAACGTGGGTCTGCAGGATCCGACGGCAAGATCCCGGGCTTGTGTGCCCGGCGCTTCCTCCACAGGCTGCCCCTGCACTGCCTTGTCCCTCCCAGCACAGTCTAGCCCCCCGCCCCCCGCAGGTCCCCCCACCGCAGCCAGGAGGATGGGCAGACTCTGCCACGGAGGCGGGAAGGAGTCTGGCTCCTCACTGAGCAGCTCCCGCTTTCTGGCGCCCGTTGGGACGGACCGACCCCCCGCGTGTGCCTGCCCAGCTCCTTCAGCCGGGGAGGGGCCCTCAGTGACCCCGGAACCCCACACCGGTGCACAGGCCAGCGGCTGAGAGGCCAGAGTGGAGCCAGTGTGTTGCTCTAACACCCCCGTTACCCGAGCCCCGGCAGCAGTCATGAGCGTTTCAGCAAGTTTCCAGATGCAAGAGGACTTTAATTTCTTCTCAGAAAAGGAATTTTGCTCATCACTCACCAAAGAGGACCGAGCCAGTAAGTTACTCAGTTCTTCTTATTGTGATAAAATTGGACCCCGGAGTAATTCATTCTCCCTCAAAGCAGCAGAGTAATTGTGGTTACAGTCATGTGTTTGAGTTACAAATTGTAACTTTGGGAAACACAAAGTCTGGGTGGTTTGGCTGTTATGGATCAGAACCTCTCTCTGCGTCTTCACCCTAGAGAGGGCCGGGGTGGGGGGTAATCTCCTGACAGCAGGCGTGATGGCAGGTGCCCAGTGACAGGAAGCAGCTCCCCGCCCCAAACGCAGTTTGCATTTGAGGGACTCACCCAGCTCTGCTGTGCTCACCACGGCAGCCGGCTGGTGCCGCCTGGGGCAGGATTTCAGAGATGTGGATCTCATTGTCCTTGAAGCTTTGTCCAAGGTCGTCCAGTTTCAGTCACAGCAGATAGATGGGAACCGTAATTTCTACGTAGCTGTTTCCATTGGCACCAAGCGAGTGAGCTAACTGCGCCTGCAGTACTCAGTTGCATTTAAAAAATACTTTTTTTTAAAAAATAAAAGGAACATGTGGATTTGGAACGCTGGGAAATTTTTATAAATGTGCAGAAGGACCCGTCTCCCATGTCACTGGTCACACGGGGGTTGCTTTGCTGCAGACGTGTGGACGCGTGATCGTGTGTGCCCTGAGCGTTGTGTGTTGTGGGTGCTTGTGGGTACACCCACCTCGGCCACGCTCTCAGGCCCAGTGCCCCCGCTGTGGGAGAGTGGAAATCCTCCTGTCACTGCTGTGGCGACACGCTGCGGTCCAGAGACATGATGGTCACTGGCGGACGTACGCTAACCCACCCAGCTCACCTGGTACGAAACAAGGATTTTTCTCTCTTCTTACAGCCATCAATTCTGTTGCAATGAATTAATTTCCAGAAAGTTAACTTTCTCTAAAGTACAGGAACTGTGTTCTTCTGTTCTTCACTGTTTATCTTATTCTTCATGTAGTTTCTTTGTAAAGACAGTGTTTTTATTAAAAATACTCCAAAATAGGACCTCCCTGGTGACACAAGGGGTTAAGACGCAACCTATGAAGCTGTCCACAGCCTCTGCAGCACAAGTTCGATCCCCGGCCAGGGAGCTACCCACAGGGCGCAGCAGACCTCTCCTGACTCGCCTGCTGCTCCCCTCAGCAGTGTGTTTCAGTGGATCCGCCTGTTCTGCTCCCCACTCTGTCTCTAGTGGATCCTCTCACCCCCCACGCCTCTGGCCTGCACCCCAGCTCTTGCATGCATAAATAAATAAATCTTCAAAAATACTCCAAAATATTCCTTGTGATAGGGCTGCTTACGGATGACATGACTGACGACTTTTAAAACTATGGGTCTTTTTCTCTCATTTCTCAATTTCTGAGTCCTCTCATTGGGCTCTTTTTCTTACTGTTTCACACCATCTCCTGAGCCTTCCTTCCTGCGGGGTCTCTGCGCTTTGCCCCTCCAGGGTGACCGCCTGCACCCAGGACCCGCGCTTGCCCCCTCCACTGCCCCCTCCGTGGCCTTGGCGCGGAGACCGCCTGCATGCGGAGCCTCAGCCGCCCGAGCTGTGAGCGGAAGCCATCGGGTTTCCACGTCTTATTTGTCACCACCGGGGAGTCCTCGAACCCGACAGCACACGACATGTGGTCCTCCCCTGCCCCTGCACCCCGTGTCACTGCAGCGGTGCCCCGGACATCGCGGGCCGTACTCCCGCCTTCCTGCAGAGTGTCCCGATGCCCTCCTAGGTGCCCGACCCGAGTCCCGCGAGGTGGGCCTGCTGTTTCTCATCTCCAGGTAGGCGATCTGCGCCCAGGGCG